ACGTTTCGTGCTTGCGCACTCACACACACAAGGGCATATAATAATTCATTCTGCGCTGGTATTAAAGTGTAAAAATAAAATAAATTGACGTGAAAATAAAACCAAACGTCAGCTCAGCTTGGTGTCAATATTATAGACCGGTTCATTGCTCACCTGTATGCCTGTGACCATATGCTGCCCTCGCTTTGTTTTCTTCAACGCTGAAGCTGCGCGCCATTTCAAGTTTTGACGCAACAACATAAGCATTTTTGTTGAAATTTGTTTTTTGTTTGTCGACTCTGGTTTAGTTGAGAGTTTTTCAGTTTTCCGTGTTCATTTTTTGCCAACATGATCCATATGTACTGGCGCTATGTACATACATATGTAAACATAAGTACAGCTCTAAAGTTCTCATTTTAATAGAGTGCCCGAGTATACTGGTTTATATAATAGGTATGTATATTAAAATAAGTGTATATATATGTACATATGTATGTGCATGCACTTTAAATGTTTGCATTTTGCACCCAATTACCCTCATGAATTAGACCATAAATGCAAACAAACTTGGCATTGTTTTAATTAAGTTGTCCAACAATAACTACTACAAACAGAATAGCCATCTGAATAACTTTTTAACAATTACACCTGCTGATATGGACGAAACTCACATAATTCCATAAATTACCAGTCTTATGAGTAATTACATGACCTTGATAAAGTTAAATTATATTCAGATTGAAACATGATATAATTAAAATTAAAAAAAAAATTATACTGCGCATGTGAGTTGTACTAATTTTATGTAGCTTTCTGTTTAGTGGCGTATAAAATGCAATGTTTTGTTTGAAAACTTATTTTAGATTGAGGACAGGCTAAAAGCATACACACGAGCCTTTTCCAAAATCCAAATATCTTGGATTTCTTCTTTACTAGCATAGATACAGCTTACAACGCGTTAGTCGTTCCTTTTTTCGCTAATTGGTGTGAATAGATACCAAGTCAGAGTTACCAAGTACAGCGTAGTACTTCTGCACCTGATCTACTCCTTCTTCTGCTCCCAGCAGCGGGTACTGAATCGAAAATCTTCAAAGCTGGAGTGTTTTCTTACATCCATCAACATGAACCTTAACCGCTGTCTGTGTACAAGTATATTTGGTACAGCTCATCGTTCCATAGACTGCAATATTCGCCATCGTCAATGCGCAAAGGACAATAAATCAATTGAAACACTTTTCCCTCGAATATTCCTTACGCCGACTTATCAGATGTTGTCATTGTAGAGTCCTCCGGATGATAATATGAGGAGATATTTCGTCTTCACCTTGTTCACTACCTGCCCCATCGCTTTTTTTCCTTATTCTGTCTGGAAAAAGCAGAACTACAGCAGCTCTATACTGCTAAAGAAGATTGTTCTTTCTCCTTTTATCCGTTTTCTTCTCTCCAGCAATAGATTGCAGAAGTCACACAATAGGAACTCTCCCCGTCTGAAACCTTTTTTGGTATCGAACGGTTCGGACACATCCCTCCCAACCTAACGGAGCATTTGATGTTGGTTAACAGTTTACAAAGCTGTAGTTTTACAGGGATGTCAAATTCAGACAGCATAGATTTCATGCTGTCGATGGCGGCTTCAAAATCTAAAAAGAGATGGTGTGTGTCGACACTTTTCTCACTGCTCTTTTATAAGATTGGGTGCATGGTGAATATCTAGTTAATTGTAGATTTACTATGTCTAAAGCCTCACTGGTCAGGTCCAATCAATTTGTTTACGGTGGGCTTCGGTCTTTCACACATTAAGCTCAATAGGACTTTCTAAAAATGCGATATAAAGGAGTCTTATTCCATAGTAATTGGCGTAATTTTTTCATTTCTCCATTCTTCCGAACATACCCTTCAAAAGAGGTGATCGGACTGTTCATTTGTCTTTCTGTATATATGCGAACTAGTCCCTCAGTTTATAAGATATCAATCTGGAAATTGGCTCACGTCCTTTTCTCCCAAAACTGTTCATTTGCCAGAACAGAATATCGGACCACTATAATATACTTGTATAGCTGCCTTACAACGAATAAAATCAAGTTCTTGTATTGAATATACTATATACAAATATTTGTGAAGGGATGAATTAGGAAGATGAATATTTAACTTTTAGCATTAAAAATGCTCACTATGATAATATTTACCAGTTAATATGCTGTTTAGGAGCAGAAGAAGCACCTTTCCTTAAATTAGATCGAAAATTGCGGGAGAGTGTGTAATTCCTTCGATAACTAAGACCTACTCGTTTCAGTTCTGAACGTCAATCACACTTCTTGGATGGCAGTCATGTCAACCTTTCTCTTACGAGTACATCAAGCAGCTGGGCAGCGATCAGACATTCCAGCAGCATTTTTAAATCGTCATCCTTAACATGTTTGCAGCGGTCGTCATCAAAAGGAGGGTATCTTATCTAAGGCTTTTTCCTCTTTTCATTGAGAGTGTTTTTTTTTACGTAGCGGGTCCCGAACCCCCATCCTCCATGACGAAAACTTGTATACATCAAAACATAAAACAATTTTAATTTCTGAACTTTTACTCTCGTGTCAAAAAAACGGTACTTTTTATGCAGCGGTAATAATAAATTTATGTCCAATTAATCGCTAATTGCAAAATTTTCAAATATTTGTTTCTTCATCATTGATCCATTGTTCAATGTAAATAATTTACAAAGCACTTAACAGAAACCAATTAGTTCGAACAAAACGAACGGCTAAGTGTTTTGACCTACAGTATATTCAGAAAAGGTGAAATGAGTAGGCAAAATTAGGTAGTATTTATACATTAGGAAATTTATTGAAAATTTAGTTAATATTATGGGTTTCGTTGAAAAATTGTGCAAACTAAATTATTGCCAAAAATCATCACAAATTTTATATGCATTATTATTTCATTTATGTTGTACCATATCTTCATCAACGAAGGGCCAATACACATATTTGATTATGTGCAATATACATATGTATGTGCAATATTATTACTATTATTCGTTTTATGAATTTTATATTGAAATAACTGTGAGACAACAAGTAAACACACTTGAGCTGCAAGAGGTGTTTGTGCGTTGTGATGCCTAGAACTCCTAGGCTTGGTTCAAAAACACCGTCGCATATCGACATGCTGACCAACGCTTGCTGAGCTCGCTCGAAACTAATAGATCTACTACGCAAATGCACGAAGAAAGGCTGATCCCTACCCGTTCCTAATCTGATGTAATTTGGGGCTGTCACTTTTCCTTCAAAGACATTCCAGCGGCCTGGCAGTTTGAAACAAGAGTTTATTGAGCGTTCTCGACAGAAGACTCTCTCTCAAATCCTTCCATCCCGCGGAATTATGTGCGCGGAGACGATGTAGTGTTACAAGTTGTCGGGAATGCAGTCGAAGTGAGAGAGGATTTCAGGATGTTTCTCTCTCTGGTACCCTTATTCTGCGCCAGTTCCCTGGAATCTGATAGCAACCAACACAGCAGCATCTGCGGCTATCTCCACAGGTTCCATATGCGAATTGACATTAAGTGCCATTGGTGATGTTGTACATACGTGGTGCATCACTGATGCTAATGTGGGTCGCTCGTTAAAAAATTTCCGAGTGACTCTCTTCTCGACGTTGGGCTTTCATCATAGCTTTCTATCAAAAATGAGATCCAAATGAGACTTCACCTTTTCAACATGGTGAAGATGAGACCTCTTCAAAGTGAGAAGGGGTACATAATTCCGGTAAATAAAATCAGTTCAGTTTTATTTGAATGGACGGCTTGTCTATAACTCGACAAACTCGTTCCTTGAGTTTTTTCAGTAGGTTATTTACCACTAAGGTCCACTAAAGAAGACAGAACTCCGCACTGCGGGGTGCCATGACAGTTCTGTCACAGAGAAAACAATGTATAAGATACTGCAGTTTCGTTATAACTTCAAACTTATTCAGGACACTTCCCAGTGTAATTCTGTCTTAAAAGGGGCGCTCTTTAAAATCAAGCAATCGCAAGAAATCAAATAATATCTATAGCCCTAATTTATTATATAACATAAAATTCAACAAAATATGAAAATAATGCAGAAAACCCCGCATTCTTATGTACATATAACGTAAAGTGTTACACACCCGGTAGACAATTGATTTTAATTGAGAAATATTGCCAGCTTAACCAATTGAACTTTTCGCGTCAGACGACATTTAACGGGTAACCACTTTTATTGGAAAGGCAGATACGAGCATATGTGGTACCGACATTTGTTTGGGAGAATTCTTAATACCAATTAGAATTTCAGACTTTGTGTGCATTCGTGTGTGTGTCTCCGAGAAAGTATGTCTGAGTAAGCTTTGATTAAATCGCGAAGAGAATGTCAGGCAACGTGCAATTGACCTGCATTAACCTACATATTTATGATTGTATTTTTTTGTTTCTACAATGATTTGACGAAAAGATATTCCTGGAGAAGAATACAACAAAATAGCAAAATAAATAATTGAACTAAACAAAATAGAAATAAACGAGAATTCAGAAAAAGTGTATATGGAAATGAACTCGGTTATAAAATGAGTGTACCAGCGCCAACGAATGTCAGCCAAGGCGAAAGCAATTGCAGCACATTGCGCACGCTGCCGCGTAAGCGTCGACCACGTGCGGTCGGTGAGGTCTACATCACTTGTCCGGCCAGTCAGGTATACCTGAATAGTGCCGTCAATGAGCATAATGCTATCAGCGAACCCATTTATCAAAACACAACGACTCCAGCCGAGCAGGAAGCCAACAGACGAATTAATCGCTGTGGTCGGCTATCGTTTGTACGCGCCACCATTACTGAGGGTAGCAATGTCGGCGGCGCACGGCAGTCGATGACTGTGAGCACCTTTATAGGTTCGTTCCACATGTTAAGGTTTTATCAAGTGTGTTCTTAATTGTATTTTTATAAGTATTCTGAAGTTATAAAATATGTCATTTGTTCGTTGCTGATCTTTGCGTTTATTTATTTTCATTTCAGATGACTCTGATCACTACTATGAGACTTTGTCGCCTTTGGGAAATAAACGTCACTCCACGCTACCTGACCAACGTACAAATAGCCATAATAAATACAGTCAAGATGTGCCACATTTTACGAAAAATGGCTCGCAGCGCAGTAAACAATATTCCGCCTCGATGCATGGGCTTGGCACATTGGCGGTATCGGATGATTATGACTCCTTTGACACAGACACCGATGAAATTTATGAAACCGAGGAGAATATAAAAAATGTAAGTGAACGTCATGAAATTAGGTTTTTGATTTTTAAAAACCGTTACAATGTTCCTAAAAAGGTAAACATGTGAGCGGGTTTAGCCAAAATTACTTAAGAATTGGGATAGACGCATTTCCACTGAGTCGAACTAGCATTAGCTTTGATAACTGTTTAATCGCTTATAACTTTTATTTTCAGCACAATGATAGCGGCGTCGACATACGTCATGTGAAGCTCCCGGATCCACCTCCTTCCACAAATCAAGTGTACGCCATTGTACGCAAACTTAAGAATTTCATCTCAAATAAGAAATCTCCCGTTTCCCAAACTAAGTACGGTGATAGTCAACAAAAACTCTACGAGAATTCTACACAATTCTATGTTAGTGGCAATATATATGAGAATACACCAAAGACTAAATCCAAGACACAGAAAAATGTGAAAAAGACACCAACCGCGTCACAGGAACAAGACGTTTATGAAAACACTGAGTTCCACAGTCCACCAGCCATTGTAGTTGATGATAGGGCACTTAATCCAGCAGACAAAACTCCCACTAATCAAACTGATTTGAAAGCCGATGCGAATGTTGCTACATTGCGTTCCAAATCGAAATCGGGTAAAAGTTTCAAATCACGTTTGCGTAAAAGTTTAGTTGGCTCCACATTTGATATGAAACAAATGTCATCGTTGTCGCCTACACGCAGCACCTTTTACGTTGAAGATCCGACATACGGCGGGTCAGGCGAATTGGATTCTGGCTTCTCAGAGAAAGCCTCATCTGGTGACCTACCCACAGCGCCCACAGTGCCTGTACTCGAGGCGCAGAGATTTTCAACTGTAGCGCGTAAGGCAAAAAAAGAAGCGAAAGCTCTGAACTCGCAACGGCGACGTACAACGATTGGCATACGTCCACAGGATCCCCCACCACCGCCACCCGTTGCTTCATCGACCACCTCTTGGTATGCTGAATGTGGTGTTTTTAAAAATGGCACGTGCGAACTGATAAATGAGTCAGAAATTTCACTAAATGATAGTAAAATGAGTCAAAGTGGTTCGTCGGTTTTTAACGGCAATTCGTGGTACACCGAGGCGGGTCTGTATCAAACTAGTGGCGTGTCAGTGGCAAGTTCAAGCGGTAGTTCGGGTGTGTCGACTGGTAATGAAGGCGCGCCTGGTGATGATCTCCCACACAGCATGTTCCAGAATGAACCACTGTATCAGATCTACAACGCTGCTAAGATAGAGGTAACTGATTATTTATATTACCATTTCTATTATATTACTAAAAACAAAAATTACAGTCGATCACACGTGATATGGGGGCTCATGACAGTTCAACGGACGGTTATGAGGAAATCGGACAGAATGGTACGCGTGGTGAGGCACGCATAAGTAGTCAGAAACATCAGCGGCCAAGCGCTTTCCAATTAATTGAACCAAAGAACGGGCCAGCCCGTACCTTGTGGAGTGAAATACCAGAAGTTATAAACTCATGTGTGCTAGGTGAGTTGGACTCGACCTATTCGAAGTAATTTTGCATTTATTGACACCTCTAAATATATTATTTTTCCATAGCCACGCTTACACCACGCGAACGCAGTTTACAGGAGGCGAAATTTGAAATCATCACCTCCGAGGCTAGCTATCTGAAATCGCTCAATTTATTGCGTAGTCATTTCATGAATCATCCAATCTTTCGGGACACGAATGTAGTGAGCGCACGCGATCGCAAAGCGTTATTCGCTTATATAGTACCCGTGCATGAATGCTCTGAAAGATTACTTACCGAAATGGAGTCATGTTGGCAAGATAATATAATGCTGATCGGTTTAGGTAAACGCATCTATACCATGGCCGAGAAATACTTTCATGTCTACATATCGTTTTGTGAACATCAAGGGCGCATGGACCGCACATTGCGTCGCTTGAAGGAGACACGCGGTATCTTCGCGCAAAACCTGCATCTACTCGAAACGAGTCCAACCTGTTGTGGCTTAAATCTACACTCTTTCCTCATGCTACCCATGCAACGTATTACGCGCTTACCATTGCTGATCGACGCCGTCTTCAGTAAAGTCAGTTCCAGCGATGACGAATACGAGAACTGGAAAATGACGTTGGCCATTATGAATAAGATAGTGACACAATGCAATGAGGCAGCGAATAGATGTGAACAAGCATACGAAATTGAACGTATTGCGCGTCAGCTGGAATTTCCTTCGACGATACGTGCCTTAGCTATAGCGCCTGTAGGTGTACCTGCAGCTGGTTCAAAACCACGTTTCCTTGTGAAGTGCGGCGAGTTGACGCATTTCATTTGGCGCGGTGATGACGTAAAACTTACGTTCGGCAAAAAATTCTCCAAGGTGGCGATCTACGCATTCCTCTTCTCCGACTTGCTCGTACTAACAAAGCGTAAGGGCGAAGAGCAATTCATAGTCTTCGATTATTGCCCACGTAGCATGCTAACCATATCATCGGGCGATCTAAGAGACATTAGTCAGACGCACAAAAATCTAATACTGATGACATTGTTAGAGAATCATGAACGAAAGACTGTGGAACTAGTAAGTCAATGACTGAGCTAATATTGTTTTATCGAATATTAACTTGTTGTTTTGCAGCTACTTTCTTGCCCATCAGTTTCTGAACAGGAACGTTGGTTGCAGGCAGTTCGACCGCCCGAACCGGAGACGCCTGGAGAAAAGCTTTACGAATCCTGGGACTGTCCGCAAGTGATAACAAAGCACGCATACGTAACGAGAGAGCCGGATGCGCTGAGTCTGGAGGTTGGCGATGTCGTAAACGTAACACGAAAATTGCCAGATGGTAAATAATCAAAGAAATTTCCCAAAACAAAATAATTAAGCAACATTTTATTCATTTTGTTTATCTAGGTTGGTACTTGGGTGAGCGCATACGGGATGGCGTTGTAGGCTGGTTCCCAGGCAGTTATACGGAGGAGGTGAACTCAGCGCATGTGCGCGCCCGCAATTTGAAGCAGCGCCAACGTTTGCTGACCTTTACCGCCACATATCTCGAGTCGCAAAAGCGCAAGTAGACGATTCATAATGGAACATAGCAGTGTGTTTCAAGACGTTAGCCACTTTAATAAAGTTGTCTGTCAATATTAGTGTATTCGTAGCTGCGTTTGTGCCTTTTATACAATAAAACTAGTTATAATAAATCGTTAATGTTATAAATACAATTTATTGACTTTTCCATAAGCGTCTTACTGCAAACAATGCTTACATATAATCGTATAATCGTTAAAATTATATCTTATATAATTTCTTATTTATTAAAATTGTGATAAAATGATAAATATGTATGTATGTAATAAAATTTTGCTTAATTTTTTGTTTGATATTTCTTTAGCAATTTTTATCTGCATTTTGAACTTCCGAAAGTGAATTTAGGTTAAAGCGAATAAATGTTCATAAATTACCATTCAAATAATATATTGTAAATTAGTTTGACCCGACAAAAAGGAATATTTCTAGTTAAACGAATCAAATATTGAAAAATTATGTTTAGATATAATATTTAGAACCTACTATTAATATTAAATATACTAAAGTATGGTAAAAAATAAAATAAATACTTATATATCTAAACATTGAAGTGTATTAAATTATAGATTTCTATGTTCAAAGTTATAAAGAAATAAGTAAGTATTGCTTAAGTTCGGCTTTATCCCAACATTTTATATTCCCCCAGATTGTAAGTTCAGAAACCTTATTCACTGACTATATGGTCTAAAGTCAAACGGATGTTCTTCTTTTTCATAACGAGTGATCCCAGTTGAGGTACTTTTTTCAAGAGCCTGCCAACATGTCATTTTATTTCTTTTCAATATCATTTGGCATTTCATTATGGAAAGACTTACGCCTGAACAACGTTTGCAAAATTTTCAACTTTATCATTAAAATACCGCATAATCATAAACCAGCATTCATTATTGGATAATATTTGACTGAATATACCATGTTCATCAAGCAGTGATGAAAATACAGCACAGAATGTGCACGAAGACCGTAAAAAGTGAGTACGACACCGTTTGCAGAAACTCGGACTGACGTATGGAACGACTTGGCGCATTTTACGTTGAGATCCTAAATTGATTGAAATTGTTAAAAATACAGCTTGTGCAAGAACTAAAGTCGCTCGACCTTCCCAAACGACATCGCATCGCCCTATGGACTCCTGAAAAGTTCCAAGATGATCTGACGTTTTCGAACCAAATTTTGTTCAGCGATGTGGCCCATTCTTAATGGTTCTTAATGGGTATGTAAACAAGAAAAATTGCCGCATTTGGTCCGAAGAGCAGCCCCTAGAGACTCAAGAGCTGCCATTTTATTCACAAACAACGGTTAGGTGTGGTTTTGGGACGGTGAAATCCATATTTCTTCAAAAATAACTACAGTTTAATTGAAACTCGTTACCTCGGCGACATTTGGTTTCAGTAAGACGGCGCCACTTTCCACACATCACATTAATCAATGGATTTATTGAGAGAACACTTCGATGGGCAAATAATTTAATGTTTAAAGCCGGTCGATTGACCACCAATATTTTCCTATGGGGATATGTAAAGTCTAAGCCTATGCAAACTATTTTTCTTCAATCTTTTTTCTTGTAGAAAAATATCACGCGTGTGATTCACCAATTAGCGGTCGAAATGCTCGAACGACGAGTCATCGTCTACGGATGAATCAACTGAGCTGTACCCGCGGCTAACATTTGAAGGAGATAATCTTCAAAAAATAAATGCCAAAAAATGTTCTTTCGAATGATAATAAATATCCCCCATTAAATTTGTAGTATCTGTGTTTTTTTCTTTGAAAAATAGTAGGAAACCTCGAAATGGATCTCCCTTTATTATGTTTATGAGAACTAAGAAGGGTATTGCCCTGATTTCAAGAATTCTGGGCAAGAGGATACACTGCTATGAGAATTCTATTTTGACCGATGAGTGCGGTAAAAAATCAACCAGGACTTCGAAAATATTATATGTTAGGAAGCATATATGGGGTCCGAGAAAACTATTGAATCGATTTTCTCCATTTTTGGCAAAATAGCATGTTGTCATCACATAAATATTCTCCACAAATTTCAATACTACACCTCACAGATTGACTGATATGTTCGGTAAAAAATCATCCATCAGCTGGAGTCGACATATTTGGTGTCTAGAAGTTAAAGTCCAAAATCGATAATTTTTAGACGTTAAATGAAATATATTGAAGGTATTATTTTTGCAAAATTATACTCTTATCACTCAATCGATGTTTGATTCCTATATCGTAAAGGGAAAGAATCAGATGGAATTTAAAAATTGGTTGTAATGGAAGTAGGCGTGGTTGTAATTGGATTTTATTAATTTTCGTAGTGTATAATAGTAACAATAACTTCACACATCAAATTTTGTTTGTAGCTCCTGAGGTGTAGGATTTCCCTTGAAGGGGGGCCGTGGCATCTACGTCCATTGTTCAATGCTTATACCGAAAAGCCTTCCATGTTACCTGTGTTGTTTAATGCTTGTGGGGGCATTTACTCAGTGAATCGTTTATCTCTTTCTTACACATAGCCTTTAACTTGTTGTGATGTACTCAGCAGGTAATGGCTACCGAAAGTTCAAGGCATTAACAGAATTAGGGCGGAAACTGACAAATAACATAGTCATCATGTAACTCTTAAAAGCTTTGCATATGAAGGGTATAAACGATTACACATACAGAAGAGTTTCGATTATAATTGTCAATGAGGCCTTTAGAAACTCACAGAAACTTTAACAGAAATTTCTGGTAGCGCTGTTGGGTAATTAACCGGTAATTTAAGAAATTGCTGGCTTACAAGATATATACAGGAACAAGTGTCATGCAATTAAATACCTACAACGATTAACTAAAATACTACTCCAGCTACCCTCTGAAGTTTATAGTCCAAAGAAAATATTCCCTATGATTTAGATGCGATTACCAATTAGTTTTTAACTAAAGACGAAACTTTTGAAATTATGTGGAAACAACCAGAAGCAGTTTTCGAGATACCTGCTTACTACAAGATGCTGTCGTGATAATTTTAAATCCACCCTGTAAACACATACAGGTATATCATTTCTATTTGCAGCTTAAGCGAAAGTTTCCAGAAAAGTCGTTCAATGCTTATAGGTTCGGGTAGCTGCTATTCACTGGCTACTTCAATAGCTATACTTAATATAAAATATATATAGGACTTAAAAAAAACTCAAGTTCCATGGGGGGTTAATTATTTTATGTCAAAACGTGATATTATAAGAGGATGCCACACTTTTGTGATGTCGTCATATGTTTGATATGTCATATGTTGCGATGATAACGGAACATCTCGACAGGATAAAATCTATGTCTTATTACTGTATTAAGACGGTTGTGTTATATTATAAAAATAAAGTACATTTTCAAAATAACATTATTCCAAAAAATTAATATTTAGTTTAATAATTAATTTACAGAAAAATTATGCAAATTCGGTTGGGAAAGACCGAAGTCTTAAATTTAATAAAATTATACAAGCATAAATCAAAATATCTTTGCTCACTTTAAATTTATTATTTTAATTGGTATCTTTATGTCAAAATTATTATATAGTGGTCCAAAAATATGAATTCTTATTTTTCCCAGAAATACGTTTTTGGAAAAAAGGATCTTTCTCCTTTGTTATTATCTTATTTCTCCCAGAAATACATTTGTAAAACAAAGGATCGTAATCCTACGGCATTTCGCAATTTCAAGAACTCAAAGCATGTGCTACATCAGCTCGAACCTACCTACCCTACGCCTTTGCGCAAATGATTATGTCAAGATAACAAATGCCCACATACAGATTTGGCAATGGCAATAGCAATGGATTTGACAGTTAGTAAGACATAGATTTTATCCTGTCGAGATGCCCCGTAAGGTGTACATATTGACACGAACAAGTTACCGACCATTTACAAACACAAATAAAATTAATACTATTTCAATATTAGACAAGGAATGAATACTTTTAAACAGGGGAAATATTTGGAATTAATAAAAAAATATTCATTAGGCAAATTGAAAATACAAAATGTCCGACAAAAAGATTTTTCAGAATACCTGAGTATAAGAGAGAGAGAGAGAGACAAAAAATAAGAAAGTGAGAGAGAGCTGAGGATTCACTATTTAAAGGCCATGCACTGCTATAACTGAAGATCAGTTGTTTAGAACACCTGTAAGTATGCGTTGAAAAGAAATAAACGTCTTAAATATCTAAAAAATAATAGTAAATAACTAATTTATATCGAATCAATGTGTTAGTAATTGTTTGCAAAATTATTGTTCAGTGAATTAATTTACATTAAGGAATATGTGCGATAAATTTCAAAATTTTTGTTAAACAATTTAGTGATTGAACCCGTGCAACGTAACCACGTAGCACGTTAGACCTAACGTTAAATACATCATTACATCACAACAATAAATTTTAGTTTGGTGGTAACTTTCGAGATTTAAAAACAGGCTGGTAGCGCTAAATTTATGATTGTCATTTTGACATTTCTCATATTCCTCAAGCCTCGAAGAGATCAATGAAAAAATAGTATTTTAGCTTCGTTTCATTTTTTATAGTTTGTTGCTTGTTAATAAATAAACAATTAACATAGCAACCAAAATCGACGCAGGGCGTGTGAGAATGAATGCGCAGTTCCATACACCATCATTCGGAGACGAGGTAATATTCGATTTGCCAGACAACGAAACGGATTGCGACACTATAAGTAAAGTTCAAGGTGGTGCAGAAATTTACGCCCCTAGTAGCGTTATAAATCAACAGCAGCAGGAAGTAGGATTATTTCATCAACAGCATTTTAATGTAAGTGTAATTAACTACAATTTATTCTAATATTTATAAAACGTGGAAGTATTTTATACATCGAGGAAAGTAGAGTGAAAGCTGCTATTTGGTACTCAAGTAAAATCAATGTGCAATATAAGTTGTCATAACTAAATAAAGAAGGTGAAATAGCAACATTTTCCTAAAGAAAGATTCCTTTATTGGGAAACACATGTACCAGCGTGTTTCAGGGCAAATTAAAAACTTGTATAAATTTATACATTTAAGTCAAACAAAGATTATAATCACAACAAAAACAATACTACGAAATTGGATTAGTATTTGTTTGTGTAAAAATAACAGACCTACATAGTGGCCGGCAGACTGATGGACAATCAATAGAAGCTGAAAATCAATGAAGCGAGTACTGCGCTCGGCAAAGGGGAATGAAAAGCATTTTTGGTGAGCGGTACATAGGGTCCCTGCGTACACAATTGATATAAACGTTGACGTGGTTTTTTGTGCATTGGCTATAACTTGTACTAAATGTTTCCGATATTGTTGTCTCGGGATTCGAAACCACATGACGATTATATCCATGAACAATTATTCGTATGCGGTACGGGTTTGTTTTGTAGAACTGTGTGTAGATAGAGCGTGCGTTATCGCAAATCAGTTTGTATTATTTTAGTCACCAAGCTTCGGCCGCCACATTAAGTTTAATTATATTTTGATTAGCAGCAAGGCTTTCGTATTGAAATAATTTTTTTGTTTTTAAGGAACAGATGAAGAAAATTATAGTAAGTTTTCAGGGTATTTCAAAATAAGAATGTTTTCCTCAAATTCAATATTTTTATTTCCTAAATGTTTTAGATTTATTAATTAAGTTGTTTTTTTTTTTTTTTTTTTGTTTGCTTATAGACAAAGAGAATTCGTAGCATGGATGTGTCTCTGGATGAGTACCATAGCGCCAATGATGAATCCTTTGCGAATACCGCGTATGCGGTATCTCCAACTAAAAACGCACAAAACACACCAACAGCAACACTAGCTGCACGTAAGCAGCTAACGCCAACAGCTACGGATGCCAATGAGCCCGCTAAACCGCTGTCAGCATACGGACTATTCTTTCGTGATACTGTTAGCGCAATAAAACAACAAAATCCCAACTGTACTTTTCAAGAGTTGTCGCGCATCGTCTCATCTATGTGGGAGGCACTAGATGTGAATCATAAACATGTTTATAGCAAAAAACATGAAGCAGCGCAGGCGGAATATATGAAACATATGCGCATATATCGTGAACAACAGGATGAACAACAGCAACAATTAGCAAATAATGTTGCTATTGCACCGACACCCGCTCTACAAACCAAACCGGCTGTTTTCACAATATCGCGCTACAGTACGGACGGCAGCAGTAACAATAACATTGCCAATAATATGGCCTGCAACAGTGAAACAAACGTAAGTGCCGCACCGGTGCAGGTAGCAGCGCCTACTGCTGAAGTAAATAGTGCAGCGAACGAACCACCGCAGCCACAGATTCAAATGCTCAGTGAAGCAGGTGCTGTGCAGAAATGCACACGAGAGAATTGCAATAAACGCGCCATCATTAATCCCGATTGGGAAGATGAATATTGCAGCAATGAGTGCGTCGTCATACACTGTCGCAATGTGTTCAACGCGTGGGTGCAATCGAATCTGGAGTCGCGCAAGCAATAACAGCGGGCTTATTGTAGTGGCGGCACTGCGCGAAAGTAAAACTCTTCTTTCAGAAACGTTTAACCAATAATGGTAGTATGGAGCGTCTCAAATTAAAGGAGAGCAACATAAAAATTTTAGTCTGAAAAATATTTTGCACTAACTTATTGCGCACCATTAAACTGCTGTAGACTTCAAAACTGCCTAGTCCCAGGCAGTGCTATCACTTTGAATTTTAACTATTTTATTATTTATATTCAAACTGTAAGATAAGTTTTCGAAAAGTAATTTCGGATTATTTAACTGTCCTAAGCTTTCCATCAAATCTTATTATATTGACTTTTCTGTAAGCTAGTTTTAAGTTTAGCGTGCGTACGTACATATATAAGGACATTTGTATGTCACAACGCAAAACTTGAGTTCTAATTATTATTTATTTTTAACTGAAATTGATGAGAGGTTAGTTTGAAGCAAAATAGTGAGATTTTAAAAAAAGTGTTCAAGGCTCAGTTTGCGGAAAATAAAATAATATAGAATTTGCGGTTGCTTTGAGGAATATTGCAACAAAAAAAAAAAAAAAAAACACTAAATACTAACTACTTTTGAGTTTTCCTATGTTTAACCCTACTTTTGAAAGAATAACAGTTCTACCATATGTAATATTTTTTTTTTAAGAATATGCAAACGGCTAATATTTCTGTTTAGTTGCATTGTGTTTCTTTAATGCATACCTTTTTAATTTTGTTAATTCAACCATATTTGTATATACTTACAAGCAACTAGTTATAAACAATCATAAACAATTTAAATAAAAACGAAATTTATTACTGAATTTGTTATATTAATGTTTTATTAATACATTTCTTAGTTTTCTTGCAATATTTATATTCTTTGAAAAAGCAAAAACATTTTATTCCATTTTTGTATTGTTTAATATTAAAGTGTATTTTATAGCATAATACAAGTAACGTACACACTTATAAATTTGTGAATTTCTATATTCGCTAACTTGCAGCCAACCAATAGACCAATTACATACATTTCTGTAAATTCAACATTGAATCAACTGGGAAACTTTCAAAAGAAAATATCAAATCATAAATTTAAAAGCTCAAAAATCTATATATATACATATATATATATATATATGTTTGTATGTATATATAATACAGTTACTTAAAACTAAAATTTCATGTTTGCCGCATTTATAAAATTAAGTCGTTTTCGCAGTATCCGTGTAAAAATGTATGTTGAGCTTACCAATATAAAAAGTTTTTTCAATGGGCTAATATACACTTACAAGTATGCAAATTGGAGAGTGTATAATCTAACGAATTTCATAGGAAATGTAGAAGCAAGTAAACCAAAAAAAAAAAAAAAAAAAAAAAAAAAAAAAAAAAAAAAAAAAAAAAAAAAAAAAAAAAAAAAAAGAAGAAAAATACAAAAAATATACACACAATTCAATATAATTATTATGCGTATAAAAGCAAACGCAATAGCGCATTCGAAGTCATTGAAGATCAATGTTGGCAAAAATATATGCATTTCTATGTATGTATGAATGTAAATATAAAATCATTTTAAATGGTAAACACAAAACAGCTGATTGCTGACATTTTGCTCATATATAAAGGCAAAAATATAAATTTGCTGTAATAGGGCGGAAGGATTTTCGAAACGCTTTAAGCGATCTGTTACTTTCGTGGCACAAGCAAACTAAAAAAAGAATAACAAAAACAATTGCACGCAAAAAGCAATGATTAAATATTTATTTTTGGTATTTCGAAGACTCGCAGGTGCGAACACAAATTCAAAAGTTAAAAATTCTAAAGCACACATATAATTATGCATGCACAGATATACATATGTATGTATAGTATATACAAATATGTATATAGATACGTTTGCTTGCACTTTCTGCAAAAAAGAAACGAAGCATTGCATTGTAAATAATATCACGAAAGTCTACCTTTCAACTATTCTTCTAAAACCTTAACTTCGTTCGTTCGTTTCTGTTGCAAGTAATTATTATTTTAATTTCTTCTTCGTATCATACCTTACTAACCGCTGTGCACACAGCTGGCGTTATTTGGGTATATTGTTTGCCTACACTTTGTGGGCCTTGTGGAGGAGGGATATTTTGCGGTAACAAACACTGGTAATTTTCATATTTATTTGTTCTTCAAATAACAAATTTTACTTCGCAATCAACTATTATGCTGTGCATGTAAATTTGTGGTAGGTATGCAAATATACGAATAACTATTATTGCATGTAGCTACTGCATGGTTTTTAGGGTTTTAACGGCTTTTGGTCATTTTTGATTAAAGTTGTTTTTACGTTCAGGTTTATGCAAATTTTCGATTATTGGCAACTACTATTATATATATATTTTTCCAAATTTTGTATATTTGTATATTTTTCCCAATTTCTGTATATACCGTCATTTTAAATTTGTCTTTCATAGTTAGCAATTTCCCCATCATTAATGACTAGAGTCGTTCTTTTAACCAAAGCGTCCTTGCGTTGCCAGCCTCCAGGTTGGTAAAATTGCAGATTCGTCCTCTTGCTCTTATGGTGGTAAACTGGAGAAAATAAGGCTGAGCTGTAGTACTCAATAGATAACTTGGTTAGTATTTAAAAAAATCAAATAAGAATAGTTAAAATTAGGTAAAAAAGTAAGAAAAAACTTTAATTACATTGAAGCTATAATATCCTTCACAGTTGTATTTTTTATAGCATAAAATAAGAATATAAAAAGTACTTAAACTTGCTTGCTTGATTGATTGATCAGTTTATATGGCAGCTATATGCTATACTAGTCCAATTTGAACAATTTCTTCATATATTGTAGCGTTACTTTGAATAATAACCTATGCCATACAAGGACTTGATTCTGATCGTCCCATTTGTTTGGTAGCTATATGCTATAGTTATCCAATATCGGCGGTTCTGACAAATGAGCAGCTTCTTTGTGAGAAAAGGACGTGTGCAAATTTTTAGGTCGGTACCTCAAAAATTGTGGGGTTAGTTCGCGGACAAAGGAATAGACAGGCAAATGACTAAATCGAATAATTGTGCTGATATGTTATACAAGTACATTTAGTATTCTGTTCCCAATACAGACGGGTCTAAATAAATAAAGTATTCTGGTCCCATTACAGTCGGGTAAGTAACCGGAACGGATTTTTATCCGGTCGAGGACTGTCAACTCGACACCACTCCTCGAATTTCAGGAATGTTTTTTGCCGCTTTAACAACAACCAGAAGTATATATACTCTATAAGATCTCCGACTTCCTATTGGGTGTTATAAACATCGTGACAACTTTAATAACCCAGTCAAGGTATAATTATTACACGAAATATGTGATAAAATCCGAAATTATTACGAGTATTACGGTTTACAACTCAGCTACACTTCAGTTGATATTTTCAATTCACATTATCAATAACCACTAAACTTGTCAAAAAGTCTTGAGTCCAGTTGTTATCATCAAACAGCTTTTTTCTTTCTTCAGCCAACAGCTGTTAAACTGACTGTAAAATTGTCATGAAAACTAAAGTTACAAACCGAGAAGAATATTTTAGTGTTTGTAAGGTTGAGTTATTATATATATCAGATGAAATATGGACCAAGTGTTGTCGAATTTTGATATTTTCAAAATTCAGCGTCGAAATAACTATATGTATCTCGAAAACTAATCCGATAGGGGCCTAAAACTACCACACTCTTATAGCATGTAGTTACTGTAAATAATAATTAATTATGCATGCCAATATAATATATACAAAAATATAAATATTAAATAAACCGATATCACACCTCATTTGCGGTTGAGCTCTCGCCAAGTCGCATTAGCTTCCTCTCTCTACTCAATAATCTGCAACTCATTGATATCCATATCGGAGGACTCCTTGCAAAACGTACTCGAACGCTCCAATTTCGTTTCGACACGTGTCGGTTTCTGTTGTTGGTCGATGCTTTTCTGAGTCGGTTGCGTTGGTGGCGGTGTTGTCTTGTCACCGCGGCCAGCCGCTGACGTGGACGTATCGATGAACAATTCGATTTTCTGCTTGACCGCATGCGCTGCCTTCAACACACCATTGGTGGCGTTAATGATTTTGTTTTTATTATTCAAATGTGCCATTTGATTGACAGCATTATTATTTTTATTGCTAACAAGATGATTGTTTGTTGTTTTCTTTAGTTGCAGCGAGTTGGGGCGACGTGTTGGTATATTCGATGGTAGCGAGTTGCGCGTATAATTGGCATTTGACGCCGCTGTGACGGCTGTGTGTGAGGCGGAACGTATTGGACCGGTGTGCGGATGATGTTGCTTTTGTTGTTGGTTATTGGTGGGTGCAGGGACGGCGTTCGTATTGCTCCGTTCGTCGCCGGAGCTATTGGCGGTTTGTTGTAGTTGTTGTTGTTGCTGCTGTAATTTGTTTTTCTCTGCGCGTTTGGCGAGTATCTCACGTGATTTGGCCGATAAGAAACTATGTCGCGGGCCACCTCCAGACGTTTGTTGACCACCAGCAGTGCCCTGTGACGCTGGTTGACCCGGCATCGATATCGAACGATTTTTGAACATATCGCGCGATGAGTGTGTAGATGATACGGATGAGAGGCGGCTGGCGGCTGACTTGGTTGTTGTCACCGAAGAGGGACTCGAACCGGTTGATTTTATATTTTGCTGTTGCAAATGTTTCGGCGGTTTTGTGCCGATGCTTGCAGCGCGATTCGTCTTCACAATACCATTAGTCAACTTGCTGTTTTGCGACTTACTACCGACAGCTGCCGACTGTTTGACGCTGTTGCCAATGAGGGGATTCGAGCGCGACAGCTTGGTTATGCTCGAAAGTGATTCCTGCGATATCGCTTTATTTGTCATCACCGAACTTTTCATGCTATCGCCGAGCGAATCACCGCCACGATCCGAAAAACGGTCGGCATTGTCGGTGGCCTTCATACGCATGGTGCGACCACGGCGCGATGGCGACGCCAAACTATCCAGCGACATATTAATGGATTTACGTCCGATTTGGCTAGCGGTTTTACGCGTGGCTGGACTGGAAGTACGCGAACTATCGCTAGATGAGATCTGACGGCCTTTACCTTTGCTGGTGGCCGGTATACTGGAACTTGTGGCGCTACGCACGGGACCATTACCAAAACCAGTTGGTGCATGCACTTTGCGTGGCTCTAGGTAGCGTGGTCGCACCTCAGACAGACGTGCTGCTATTTTCTTGCTAGTGTCGCTCTTCACTTCGGCGCTCGTAGGTTTTGGCGGCAACGCTGGTGCGGCTGTGCTGCCTTTATTTATATGCATTGGCGCTTCGGATTGTGTGCGCCGGTGTGTGTTTAAACTGTTGCGTTCGGAAGTCGTGGCGCTCTGTGAGCTAGCGCGCAGCGCTTGAGGCACATGGACGCGGGTATTCGATTTAAGAATTTTACCTGCGAAAGCACACATGTATTTAGAAAAAAACGGTAGTACTAACATTTAAGCTTGAATTGTTTGTACTTACTTGTACCTTCACGTATATCGTTGTTGGCCTGCACACCGCGCTCGGTTGTCTGCACATTACCCGCATCTTGAGTCTGCGTTGCCTTATAGAGTTGTGTATCCTGTGCCATGGCGCGCTTCGAATGCGCCTGTATTGCCAACTTCACCTGATACAGGTCCTGGTTGCGTGTGCTACCACTAAATGTGAATGCTTTCGAGACGGGCTTGCTGCGCTTCAGATCCATCGGTTCGGTGAGACGCGCCAATGTCTGTATCTTCTTACGCAAGTCCAGATCCATACGTTGCCAAGCAGTTACACGCATAGCGCGCGAACATTGTCGTATAAGACACTGCTCCACTGCGGATAATATGGCGCTGAYCAAACGTATATACTCAGCATCCCAATCTAAGTCTTCCTCTTGCAAGCCTTGCAATTCTTTAGCCAATTCACCAAGATTTGCCGGCATTTGTATGACTTTCGCCTGCAACACAGTGTTGAGGCGTGTCACACGCTGATAACTGCGACATGCCTGATCCGGTGTTAGCGACGATGCTGTGCGCAATAGTACGCTCTCGAGTCGCGGTATGTGACTGCTACGATCGTGACCGAGCGATAGGAAAGAGTCACTCGCTATCAGGCTGGCAAAGTGATCGGCAATGTAGACATAGGCGGCGTCCAATATATCACGTACAAGACTCTCACAAATACCACCCCAGCGGTAGGTCGCCAACTGTGTCAGCAAGTTATCACAATCGAGCACTGTGTCCAATACGCTCTCCGATGTCTGCGGCGTAGTATTGTGCATAGAAAGAAGTTATAAGTGAATGTGATAAATTGTTAAAATATATATAATATAATAAGTAGGTTAACAAGCTGGTAATGACGCTCAGTCCCTACAAATACAGCTGATTCATAATTCTCATAATTTTTTGCTTATCATTGATCGATATCTTGCTAGATAAGGCACTCATGCAGGTATACAATATCCTCCGCAGTCCTCACATAAGGAAAATCATTGTTCGCTTATTGCATTTGTCGAGAGTTGGGCACACACTCTTTTCAATTCTTATCTCTTGAAGCTAAGTTAGTGGAGTGGTCGTTCTTATAGGGTTCATATACATATACTAAACAAGCCGTAAAGATAATAGGCTGTGCGAATTTGATTAAATTCCGTTCTATTCAGTGGCAAATAAACAATTTCGCACTGATAATATCTCAAGGTTTCATAGATTAAAACACATTGGCAATGAAACTGATAATTATTGCAAGATTGTATTTGGATATAGGTTAATTTAAATTAGGTTGGAATGCGATTTTTTGCAAGCAATCTGATTTTAAAGTAAATCCTTTGAAACAGTTTTTGTTGAGCTCCCACCTGTAAAGATCGCTGTTGGTTATGTCTGCCAGGCTTCATATAAAACCCACTTGCCATTGCATGTTTGCTTGGTACTTTTATGTCGGGTAAGGTCGCACTGAATTCTTTGCATTAATGACAGGGATGACAACGACAAGTTCTTTAACGGTTTTTTTTCAAAACGACGCTTCAAAAGTAGACCGATAGCGACAGCAAACGACACCATATTTTTCCCACTCTTTTGACATTTCTCTTCAGTAATGTTTGTCATTTCATCGTGGAAAAATATACGAGCCAACAACGAGTCGAAATCATTAAAATTTACTACCGAAACTCGGAGTCAGTGGCCTCAATTTTAAGAGCGCTAAGTCAATTTATGTTCGACATAATCGTCGTGTCAGATCAATAATTGAGCGTCTAGTGGAAAAATTTGAATCCTCAGACACAGTACAAAATGTTGCGGCGCCAGTGATCGCCAGTGTCGAGAATATCAATTGACGAAAACTCAAAGTCCAGTCTCTCACACGTCGTTCTTAAGCGTTGTGGCGAATTTCGCGAAAAGATCTTGGCCTTCATTCTTACAAGATCAAATGGACGCAACAACTGAAGCCGCTTAACCCCAGAATCGTCGTATGTTCGTAATTTGGTATGGCAACAACTTGAAAACGATCCGGATTTTCATCGAAAAATCATCAAAATATGCGTTATTGGTCAGGCAGCATTCCACACGTACTAAATAAGTCATCATCGCAAAAAATTACGGTTTGGTGTGGTTTATGGGCCGGCAAAGTCATTGGGCCGTACTTATTCTGTGAAGATCAAGATCGGCAATGGGCAATGATAACCAAACATTTTTAGTACGAATGTGATGATGTGGACTTGGACAATATATGGTTCCAACAGGACGGTGCCGCAAGCCACACAGCGAATGCCACAGTCGATTTATTGCAAACCAAGTTTGGTGAACGTTATCTCACGAAATGTCACAGTCAATTGGCCGCCTCGGTCGTGCGATTTGACGACGTGAGACTATTCCCGTTAGGCAACTCTGTATGGTCTATGTCAACAAGCCAGCGACGATTGATGAACTTCGTACGAATATCAAACGTGAAATTTCAGCAGTATCGGGCGATTTATGCTTGAAATTCGTCGAAAATTGGGTAGTAATATCCAAAGGATCATCTGAAAAGGTTCGTAACCCCAAGTACCAGATTATTTATTATTATCCGGCGGGGGATTGTGAACGTGGCAGGAATATTTTCATCCATTTAAAGAAAAAGTGAGGTTGGGTCGAAATCATTACTAATCTGCCCTGGCGATAACCTTCAATTACCGCCTCTAATTTTTACTAACACAGAAGTAAGATGAAATTTCAAAGGCTTGAAATTTTATACAGTTTCAATATCTAGCTGTAGCACTTAATAAAACTTATTACTGTTTTTTCAATCATTATATATCAAATAAAGACAAACTCACCATGTAAGCAACAATTTGCTGTCGACATCGTCCCAATATGTCTGCTGGCAGCTGAGCAAATTGACGTGTGGGCCATACTTTCATGTAGTGGCGACAAGTCCACCGCAGACATTTGCGATACAAATCATCTAACGAGTGAGTCAATGCCACAGGCAGGACCTGTAGTATACCATCGATACAACCCGAGCAGGGTTTATGAAAATTGTGACAATAATTCGTCTTCAAGGCGTGCGCAGTGACTTCCTTCAGTCCCTCTAAGCCAAGCAGGTCAGCTAAAGCAGCCAACTCCATCAAACTAATGCCATCGGGAGGATGCGAAGCGCCGGAATAAATGTGACACAATGCAAAATGTACTGCCGAATAGGAGTAGCCCTGTAGTGAGACCACACTCTGTGCGCCGCTACCCGCCAACATAGCGGCAAAATATTGACAGCGCGAGCGTAGAATGCATTTATGCGCCTTAATGCGGCGGCCATGCACTTCGACGATCATGTCGGTGGCAATCTCTTGCAGGAACATTTTCAGCAAATCCTCACCTAATCTGCGTGGTTGACGGCACGATATGGAAGACTCATCCATGCCGGAACGACTGATACTTGAAGCCATACTGGAATCACCGCTGATATCCGTTTGTATATAGTCCATTTGATCACAGATAATGTCGTTCGGCAAAGAGTTGGAGAACTCTTTCGAAAAATTCGGGAAAAGACGCGACAAGCTGCGCAAGTTCTCCACCGAATTAGTTATGCTGAGGAAACTATTGCCTTGTGAACGGGTCATGGTCCATGAATGAGGGCGCGTTTTCGAATCGTCACGAAATAGCCGATTGATTTGACGATGATTGCCCACACTCTTACTCATTGATTCCGGCGAGTGTAGCTCGAACTTTGCGGGTTTATCCATATCCGATAATTTCACAAATGTACCCTTTTCGACTTCACCATGCTCATTCACAGTTTCCAGCAGCATTTTTTGCTTCTCTATGGTTGCATGTAGAGTCTCCATGGTGTGACCGGAGGCATTTTTCTTAGGTGAGGATGTTTCTTTGGCCTCAATTATGGTTTCCATAATAATAGCCGATGAGCGATTTGATGGCACCTGTTGCTGTAGCTGCTGCTGCTGTTGCAGTGCCGCCTCACGCTTTGCCAGTTCCTCATCCTGCTGGAAAGTCAAGTCTTCAGTATCAGTCGTGGATGCTGGCGACAAATCTTTTGAAAGCACACCGTCTGTTATGGAAGCCAAACTACTTTTGTCAAATGTTTCATTGATTTGTACATCGCGGCGCCGTCTCTTGACGCGTCCACCGTTAGCGGCACCAGTGCCAGCGATGAAAACTTCATCGTCACGCTCACCACCCGACACAGAATTTCTTGCCGAATTGTTTGAACATGTGCTCAATTCAGACTTGGAACCGGTGTATTCGTCGAAAGGCGACAACGAGCTGTCCACCGACAAGGAGGACGCTTTAGATATTAACGGTATTTTATCAATGATACTCATTAATCCATTACCACCATTCTCTTTTGAATCGCCATTTGCCGTTAGACTAATGGAGCGTTTGTAGTCGCACGTAACGCCTTCTTTTGTTGCATTAGTTCCCCACGAATGTCGTTTTGTTGCGTCGTTTTGAGCGCGCTGCTGCTGTGATAGGCGACGTATTGCCGCCACTGTAATGGGTGGTTCAAGGTTGCACTTATAATCAAGCGATTTACTCTCCCCACATAATTCATTGTCTGCACTCATCTTTAGACTGCTGCTTTTTGCCATTAAAGTTTCCGTCGAGCTTGCGCTGGAACGCATCACATCGTCCCCGCGTCGTTGAGCAGCGTGTGAAGCGTACGAACTAGATAAACGTTGCGCTAAACTAAATGGTTCTTTTCTTGGCGTGCCAGTAGGCTTCTTGCTCTCACCTATATCTATAAACATACTAAAGATATTTTTCTTATCTGCAGCTGTTGTCTCCTCTGACTTTGGCTCTTCAGGTTTCACTTCTTCGGCCGTGGCATATTCGCTCTTCGAGAGATTAACAAAGAAGCCGGCTGGTTTCGGTGCCGTGTACGATTTACTCATCTGCGGCTTCATTGGTTTTTTATTGAGATCATCGTTATTGGGCTTATCATCCATATTATCTAAGGAAACGTAAAAGCCGCAACCGCTCTTATGCGAACTTGTCGAATCTGAACGTTCCCGAAATTTACTTGCAGATGCTTCCATGCTCGATGTTGAGCTGGTGCTTTTACGACGCTCCGTACGACAGTCACTCATGTCCACAACCCATGACGCAATACCAGGTATAGGTTTACGTGTCTTCGGCCGTGAACGCAACTCTACCTGATCCTCATCATCATCGCCCAACGGACGTGTTGGTTCAAAATCCAACGAGGCAAAGCCACCCGAGACGATGGGGCATGACTCCAAACGCCGATGCACAGGTGGACTTTCGCATTGCTTGGGCGCAAAATCTTTGATTGATGCGCCACCGGATATAATGGGATTTGCTTCATCGAACTTGGAACGTTTTGGCGTGCGCGGCATTGGTACTGGTGAGTCTGTGGCATCGCTGCAATAAGCGCCGGAATCGCGTTGGTGCGATAATGAAGAAGACATGGTATAGTCGCGATGTATGGAAGAGTTATTGCTTGAGGCATTCTCTATGTGTGCTATTGAATTATGCGGTGTGTCCGGTTGAGTAAATGCCTTATGTATGTGCCCGTCATAGTCATCGACATGTGGACGACCGCTTAGACTAGGACGGTGCTCGTGTTCGGACCAAACTAAGCTCGGTGCAGGACTGGATGAAGAGTAGTCGGTAGTGTAGCTGAGATCATTGTGTGCTGCATTTACTGTAGTCGGATGTGAAATGCTGGTACCTGTCGAGCTGTGCACCGAAAATTTAGGACTCACCGCCAAGGGATGAATACTAAATTGTTGCATATTGTGCTGAAAAATATACGGTCGTGGTTTATGTTCTTGTTCACGGCGCAACTTAACGATTTCCGAAGAGTCTGAGGAATCGGCATCAGCGACTAATGAAACTGATGCCTCAGTGGCATCTTCTTGCGTGGAAATGTGCTGCTGGGTGGCCAGTAGTTGCGCCTTACCAACAGCATCCTTGTCTTCGGTAATCAGTGGCGCTTTTTGATTTTCGTGTTCACGTTTCCAAAGTTTTTCCTCGTCCGAGAGATTATTAGTGGAAGTAGCGGAGGCAACCGAAATTTGTTTCTGCGGCGAATCTGCACCAGAATTCGAACTGGAACTTGACTTTGATGTATCAAATGTTTCTGCAGTTTCAGGCAAGTCTTTAGATTTCACTTTGCACTTGGCAAATGCTTTATGGAATGATTCAAGTTTTTTAGTAGGTGAATCCTCATCTTCTCCACCAACCACTTTCGTTGACTGCTCTTCCACATGCTCTTCAATATCCTTAGCATCCTCATTCGATTGCTGTCCATCCAGACTTGGAAAGGATAGCACTTCATCTTCATCACGCAGCGATGAAGCGTCAATGAAGCAGGCGCTATGCCCGGAAGAATTCATGGGGTTGTCACGCCGCTCCAGATCACGCAACAGCGAATGTGCACTGATGCCAGTGAACAATGAGCTGGTATCTGCAGTTACTGACGCCCCTGTCGAGTAAGTGCGCTCCCGCAGGTAGGGCGCGATATCAGGCTCTTTAAGTAAATTAACTTGCGGCTCTGCTGCGCCGCATTTATCGCGCTCCCGCGGCAGCTCGAATGGTGCTTTCGGCAGTTTATTTTCACCATAAGAAAATTCTGTACTAAAGGCTGGATAATTTACCTCAGCCACCTTTCCAACAGCTGTGTTGCTAACACCAGCAGTAGGTATGCTCGCAGCGGCCGTTGACACCACGCTGCCTGTTGCAATACTGTTAGCGTGTGGGAACACCGATTCCCATGAGCCAGTTTCTGAAGAAATTGACGACGTTTCCATAATAACAATCTCCTCATTCTGTCGCTGCTTCTCCTCCTTCGAAGTGGAATGAATGCCGCCACCAGTTGCAGCAGCAACACTACCACCACCACCACCGACACCACTGCCGTTGGACACCTTCAAGCGCGCCGCTGGCGTTGGTGCTACTGTCGGCAAATGCACTACATCGTAGACTTTATTATCATATGCGCTGCTGCCGCCACTGTTGTTCGCACGCGCGTTGGTGCTGCCAACGTTATCACCGCCATCACCTGCAGCAGGCATAACTGCATCACTGGGACTGCTGCCGTCGGCGCATTCGTCCGCGCTGCTGCTGGTGGCGGTGCTTACCGGCGAAAAAGTGTCACGCTCCTCATCGCCCAAATCGACTTCACAGGTCTTGGTCGAGGAGACGCTACCTTGACGTGGCAATAAATTTAATGTGGTGGGCATATTGGCGCGCCGCAAGTCCTCACTATATTGCGGTGGCGAAGAGGTGGTCGTGGATGAGCTGCTACCATTGCCGCTGACACAACCGCTGCCGGCGCGTTGAGCGGGCAAGGGGCGCGTGTGCCGCGCCGGCGCTACTGGCGGTGTTGTGGTTAACTCAAGGCCATTGGCTGTCATGCTGCTGCGTTGCGCCGCTGATGGTGTAGCGGCTGTTGGTGAATGCGTTGCACTGTTCATTTTTGCCCTTGTTGTTGTTGTTGTTGATGATGTGATTTCTTTATGCTGCGCTTACAAACGCTGTGCTAGTTTTGTTGCTGTTTTTGCTTTAAATTGCCAGTTGTTGCTCTATCTCTGTCTCTTATACACATCTAGATGTGTATAAGAGACAGGCGTTGCACTGTTCATTTTTGCCCTTGTTGTTGTTGTTGTTGATGATGTGATTTCTTTATGCTGCGCTTACAAACGCTGTGCTAGTTTTGTTGCTGTTTTTGCTTTAAATTGCCAGTTGTTGCTCTATCTAATGCTTCATTAGGCAAATGGCTGCTGTACCGTTAGCGCATGCTATTGTTGCCAACGTGCGCTTTTGTTGTTATGCTTTTTTCACAGTTTTTTTGATGCTGGCAAACTGAGCCGCCGTTTTGCCTTAATGCCTCCACACTTTGCAGTCACGCTCGGCGAGTTCCTTTCAGTTTGTCGCCACTCGGCGCGCGTTTGTTCTTTTACCGTGCAGTTTCGCAGTTTCTTTTGCCTATTTCATGCAATCTATTGCCAACAAAAAAAGCGCACAAACAACAAAAACCAAACACCCGTTTGCTATGCCAAATGAAGTGCTTTTTATTCACAGGCGCTGCTGGCCATCGGTAGCTATGAAAAATGCTGTCTGTCTGTTGCGTTTAAATTGCAACTTTTTATGCGCAACTATTCTTGTTGTTGTTGTTGTGCAGTGTTTCGTGAATTCCGTTGGTACTGTGTGGATTATTGTCCGCCAATGCTTTGTCGCCGCAACTGCAGTTTGTAGGCAAATATTCGTTTGCTTGTGTTTAAGCGTCCTCGTAAAGCGAAAATAACGAATGAAGGAAGTCAAAGCAGAAAAAAAAGTTACGCCGCTTTTGTGCTCGGCTCCAATTGCGGCTACATTAAACTAAATGCAACAACGAGATCGGGTGTGTATATAAATGTATTTGCTATATAGTCGCTTATATATGTAAAAATGCATATATGTACAACTGCTTATATGTATGTGAGCATGTGTGCAATGACACTACGTTATGCTATTCTATTTGCAACTATTTCGCTGTGCGTCGTTGCAACTTCGCATGGCAACACAAGCACCGAACGCGAAAATTCTTGGCTTCGCAATTATAGTTGACAACAGGCGTGCACTGCGTTGTTTTTATTATGCGGATGAACGCAACTTTTTGCCTTTTGCTTTGTGCGGCGTTCTTCTGCTATTTGTGACACTCAATCAGCGCCGCATCGGCCAACCCAAAATGAGCCGCTGACCACTTGTAACGACAACGCTGTTGCGCTTGTTACGTTAGTGATCACTGCCGTGCTTGTTGTTGTTGTCGCTTTTGTAGTACCTGTTCAACACTGTTCAATTAGTTTCTGTGCCGCGCAATTTAATTGTGTGAGTTGCCACTGCCGTTGACTGTTTTACAAAAATCTATTGTATGTATACTTCGTTGTTGTTGTTGTTGTTGTTGCTTTGCTGCTAATGCTTAAGTTATTGCAGCTGTCACTTGTGTAAACACCTCAGCGCGTATGTGTTGACGATGCTGCTTGCTGTTGCTGCACTACAAAGTGTTCACCAAGCCGTGCAACAATTAAGCAGCGCCAGGTATTCGGTTGCTTCCAGCTTACGCTCACGCTTACTATGCAGCGCGGCGCTTGCAATGCATTGTTGTTGCAACAGAAAAATTAAAAAAAAAAAACTCAACTTTACAATAGCAACAATAACGCTTAGTGCTGTATGCACATAAGCAACTTGTTGTTGTTGTTGCAGTTGCTCTCAAAACGTCGTATTCGTGTATATTAGCCTAGCTGTTGTTTTTGTTGCTGTGACTCGTATTTTTGTTTACACTTTTGGAATAAGTTCACTTTGTTTGCCGGTGCGCCTTGCTTAGCGTCTCTCTAGCAGCAGCCGTGTGGCGAGACGTCGTTTATGTTCGTCTTGTGCTTTAGTTTCTTTAAAGTTGTTGTTTATAGTTATCTGTTCTTGTTGTTGCTGTTGCTGCTGTTGTTTTTGATAAACTGCAGTCAACATTTTGCCGTTGTTGTCACTGATTTATTACCTCTGCCGCGTCGCAGTCTCCGCCACCACTCGCCGATTTGTTTATTTCTTCAAGCGGCAATGTTGTTGCTGTGCATTCGTGTATGTGTGTGCATGTGCATTGTTCGTGCTCTCGTAATGCTATTGTAGTTGCAGTTGTTTGCGCCTGCGTTTTTCCTTACTTTTTGTGTTGTTGTTGCTATTAATGTATAATTAACCTGCAATGGGAAGAGATAAACAAATACATGAGTAAGTAAAACAACAGTAAGTTGAGTTAAAAATTCAGCAGATGTGAAATAAATTATACCATACATTTGTATCTAAATGTGATTTCAATTGTATTCACACTAAGTTTCATACCAATGTGGGCAAAAAATAGTAGGGTTTTCTAGTTTAAACTGCTATCCATTTGTCGAAATATATTTTTGTTTTTTTTTTTTTGTATGACTGTCAGTGACATCTGTGCCGAATCCCACATCAAAATAATCATAAATATACTTGTCTTGAAACATGAAATACATAAAGTGCTTTTGGCGATTTTTGCGATGAGTGAAATTATTCAACAAAGGGGGTCCACTGAATTTTGGGGGTCGAAACGTTCAGCATGCTGCGAAAAGGTCTTCAGTGATAATTGTTTGTCGCGTTGAAGTGTTTTAGATTGGTACACATTTTTCAAAGCGGTCGAGAACGCATTGACGACGAGGCACTTCCAAGACGGCCATCAACATCAACTGATGCGCAACACGTCAATAAAATAGTGGAATTAGTGTTTGAGAATCGACGATTAATAGTCAGAGATCTTACTTGCATCGTTGCAATATCGCAAGGATCAGTGAAAAGCATTTTGAAAGCTCAATTGTCTTCAAGAATAATGAAAGAACGATTGTTTTCAAAATCTGTCAACTTTTTTGAAAAACAGCGTCGCGTTAACGTCTGTGAAACAATGTTTTTCTACAACCAGGGTGTCATGGAACATATTATTACTGCCGATGAATCTTGGATCTATGCTTACGACAGAGAAAAAGACTAGCAACCGGCCGAATATCGTGACAAAGGCGAGCCGAAGCCGAAAAAACCACGTCAAGGCAGACAAATAATAGTTATACTGACAATTTTCTTCGATTATCGACGTGTGGTGCACTCCAAATTCCTTCCGACCGCTCAAAATGTTAACAATGAATACTATTGGGGGTTATGCCTCGTGTAAGCGATGGTATTCGTAAAAATAGGCCAGAATTATGGGCCGATAATTCTTGGTTTTTGGACCATGATAATACACCGTGGCATACTGGTTTGGTTCTGCGTGAGTTAAAACCAATATTGTGCCACAAACACTGTATTCACCAGATTTAGCTCCGTGTAACTTCTGGCTTTTCAGCAAACTCAAACGACCGCTCCAAGGAAACAGTTTTCGAGTAAACTGAAGACATTAAAGGTGAATCGTTGAGCGGGTTAAAGGCTATTCCGGAAATTGACTTTAACAACTGCTTTGAGGTTTGGAAAAAACGTTGACACAAGTGTATTGTGACCAAGGGGCAGTTGCGTCCTCTATTTTTGTTTGCGATTGAAAAAAAATTAACTCTCAAACTGACGAACTAGCTCGCGTAAAGGCTAAATCTACTCAACTCGTGAAGCTACCATTAATAGTCATATATAGAATGTATGTTCAAGGTATAAAATAAATCACCTCTTACAGGTTTGCTTATGGATTTGTTAGTGTGTTTAGGAAGGTTTCACTTTGGTACTACATTCGGAAACTCTTCAAGTTTCTTACGCGACTTCATGTTCTCCATTTCCATTCTGCCTTCGTCAAGAAACAAAAATGTCACTTTCAGAGTGAGTTAAATCCTCGTGTGGTTCAGAAAATAGCAGAGCGGCATCATCGGACATTAGTTCTTTCGAGCCACCGTTAGGAAATGAAAACAATTTTATCTAATCTTCAATTAATAGCGGTTGTTTCTCGGATGGTAAAAGCGAACCTACCAGAGTACTTCTGCAATGTTTTAATGCGTTGTTGTTCTTGGTCTGGCGGCAGAAAACATTCCTGAACTAATTTCGAGGCATGTTGCAGAGTTGACCTTCCTTGGGCGGATGAAAGTTCGGGTCCGTTCCGGTTACTTAGAACCGATTGTCGTGGGAACGGATTTTAATGCATTTCGGAGTTCGCTTACAATTCGTAAATTTCTTTAATTTCTTGCATCAGCACTTTCTTATTATCATCTCCATTTACTTTTTTAGCTTAAAGTACTCTGCGATCCGTTACCTAAGTTAAAACAATTTCAGCTATAACCATTTCATAATTATTAGCAATATAAATGTCTTTGAGACAGTTTTATTGCAAAAACTGGCATCATTACATGTATTTTATTTGTCGGTAGAAAAACGTAAGCGCCATCGATTGATCATATAGACGCCATTTATGGTAACAAGCTGTCGCAGTCGCAGTCCCTTTAATTCTTTAATATGGTTTAATAGCTTGTATAAACAAATCATTATATATAACCTGACAGGTTACTGGAAATTATTGCATTGCAATAGCAACTCGAAAGCCATGCCTTTGGAACCCTCTAAATGCACTCCACATACCATAGGCTGCATGTAATATAATATTTTCTTAAGCATATCAAAAGTTGTTAGCAACTGTAAATATGGAAAAATATCAATACTCTATAATCAAATAAAATTCATTCAACTTGAACCGATTGTGTTCGTGAGTAACTATATATATACAATTTTTATGCAATTTATTTTGTATTTATTTCCATGCAAATTATCGAAGCATTCAAATGGAAATTTCGTATTAATTAATATTCAAAAAAACCTGTCCATTTGCTAAGCAAATAGCTTATATATTTAGGAAAGCAATAATTTATTTTAACACATGTATTCAATTTGCTTGCGCAGATGCGGCTTAATAGAGATTTACTTAGTCATGGTTGATTGCCGTTATAGACTGCTCAACTGTCATAGCAAAATAAGATGTTTTCTAAAAATTTCTTTCATAAGCTGTTCGGTAGCTTTCTTAATGCAATATTAGTAATTATTTGCCAGTGAGAAATTGATTTTATAAAGTTAGATAAAGTTAATAAAATGCCAATCACGATTTCAGATTTTACAAATTACTTATGTAAATAAGCAACTACTTTTATCTTTAGTTTTTGGTGAGTAATATAAGGGAGAGAACGTTTAAATTTTCATTCAATTTAAATCAATTTCTTCAGTGTTTGCTCACAAGGGATAAATGAGCTATTGAGGCATATTCCAAAGAGTGGTAATGCGGTAAAACGGTGTATAATCACTCAATTTGCTGTCAAAGCGCTGTCAGGTGCAGACTACAGAATGAGTAAAATATTCTTAATTTTTATATTTATATAATTTTTACTATTAATACTCCGTCACGCCGCGGGATCAGCCATCTAATGTAACCTACTATTAATATATATTTACTCTATGAGTAACATCATTGATAAATAAAGTGTTTTTAGCAAACTTTTTACATATTTGAAGTATATTTTGGACCGACTAATTTTGTTTCCTAATATCTTGTAGATTTTTTGTTGATATTATGATAGAATATCGTTTATTTATTCAATATTTTTGTTAATGAAATGAAAAATCTAAAACAGTAACTTAGACCTCCTAAAATGACAGTGATGTAATGTTTGCATTAGTCAAACAAACAGGAAATTGATTAACCATTTGTGGTCACTTATTTGTCTATTCGTTATCAATATTTTGAAAATGGTTAAAGGGAAACGAAAAGAACGAAATATAAAGTGCATAATTAAATATACATTGTATATGTCTTTGTTAGGGTGGTCCAAAATTATTTTCCGTTATTAAGGAGTTATATTTGATTAGAATTTTTAAAACATCTATGTATTTTATTTGTTTTTTTTTAAGTACATATATTTAAGAATACCCACAGAAAATTTCATATTGTTCCGGTGAATGTATTTGAAGTTACACCCAAGTTTGTAAAGGCTTTTCAGAGTGCTTGGAACTACATACAAGGCAAAATTTTAACAGGTTTTTCTTAAAATGGTGTTTTCAAAGTCGGTGAGCAATATTACTCGAAAACTTTTTTTTTAGAGGAGCTCCCGGAGATCAGCTGAAGTTCCTTTCCAAATAAATATTTTTACTAATACGAAGTTTTCAAATACAGTTAAAAAATAAAAAAAAATAATGTATACAAATTTGGATCGATAAATTTAACAGTTTTCTCAGAAAAATTCGCTTTTTTCGGGCTTCTAACTGTATATAACCTCTTAACCAAACAAGATATATGTTTGACAATTACATTATTATCGTCTGCCGTCAATTATTTTATCTTCCCCGTTTTTTTACCTCTGGGTTTCATCCTACTACGACTCTTTTTTGTTTTAACAAATTATCCTCTATGGTCTATATTTGAAAATTGCCACTGAAAAGTTCGGCAAGGAGTTTAAACTAAATTTACACGTTAAAGAGAATTAAAATCACTATGCGTCAAATCTAATCCTAAATAATCGACTACGAAAGGGTTGGAATAAAAAATGTTGTTGCCACAATTTTCTATTGACACTGAATGGAAAATAATATCATATTAGTTTCTCCGCGAGGTAGAAAAGGGCTCCATGAGACTTTCTCATATACTGCTGTGATCAAAATGAAATTTTTTTTCTGTATGTTGGTAGTACTGTTGGTGACATCTGTGCTAAATTTCACGTCAAACTATTCATTAGTATTTGAGCTATACGTCGTTTTGTGAGGCTCTAAAAGTGAATTCTTCTTTTTTGATATGTCCGAATTTATTGAATAAAGAGGTGTGATAATGCACCATCTCATACTGCATTGGTTATTCGTGATCATTTCGCCAAATTTTCAACTAATATCGTGCCGCAACCACTGTATTCGCCTGATTCACCTTCGTGTAACTTCTGGCTATGCAACAAATTCACATGACCACTTCGAGGACACCGTTTTGACTCAATTGAGGATATAAAAGTTGAATCAAAGAAGGCTCTGGTTACCATCACGACGAAGGATTTTTGCAAGTGCTATTATAATTGGAAAATTTGTTGGCATAAGTGTATTGCAGCGGGAGGGGATTACTTTGAAGGAGATGAAATGAACAAAATTCACCTTTCAATTTGATCACCGTGGTACTTATTTCGATCTTGTCTATAGTGTTTCGGATGATTATGTCTGACTATCGCCTCAGAACATGTTCGATCCA